CGCGCACCCGCCGGTAAGGTGCGTGCAGTGTGCGGAGGTGGACGATGAGTTCAAACGCGGCCGCGCTGCTGGAGTCCGCGATGCACGGCCAGGTGGAAATGTCAAAGAGGAACAGTCAAGCAGTGCGTGTGGATGTGCTCTGTTGCGAGCAACAGCTCGGCGCCAAGGTCTTGGAGTCTGGCGTCGAGGGTTGGCACGCACCTAGGTTGGCGGGTGCTGGTAAGGTGCGTCCAGTGTAGGGAGGTGGACGATGAGTTCAAACGCAGTCGCGCAGCTGGAGTCCGCGATGCACGGCCAGACGGAAATGGCAAAGAGGAAAGGGGAAGGCGAGGCGGGCTCAAGAACATCCTTTGGCGTACGAGGAGGGCATGGCGGCGACGGGGCTCAAGAACATCCCTTGGCGTACGAGAAGGGCATGGCGGCGATGGTGAGAGTGAGGGGACGGCGAGATTCAAAGGCACCGGGAGCGTGATGTGCATGCACGTCCACTATAACTGTGAGCTTCTCCGTCTTGAGGCTGCATTGCACGAAGCATAGCGTGTGGATGTGCTCTGTTGCGAAAAACAGCTCGGCTCCAAGGTCCTAGGGTCCGGCGTCGAGGTTGGGTGCGCACCTAGGTTGGCGGGTCCCGGTAAGGTACGTCCAGTGCGTTGCTGGAATCCGCGATGCACGGCCAGGCAGAAATGTCAAAGAGCAAAGGGGAAGGCGAGGTGGGATCAAGAACATCCGTTGTCGGACGAGGAGGGCTAGGCGGCGACGGTCACACCAGCTTTTCTAACAACGTGATTTTTTCGACCACCTCAAAATCACCTCAAATTTCCTACACATGATCTTATAAACAAACATAGATAGATTGTGAAGTTCTTATATTTTTTATTTTTATTATTTTTATAATAATGCCCGGTTGAATTTCAGGTGAAAACCTCGGAATTTAGCATAAAGTGACAGTATAAACTTCAAATTTTGGGAAACTTTCTACATATTTCTATTTGTTGCCATCATATTGACCTGTGTTGCTTTCATGTAAATGTTTCCATGATAGTGGCTTGTGTTGCTTTCGTAGGCATGTTGCCAACCAACATCTGTTTCTTCAAATTCGAACAAATTCGTATGAGGCGAGGAGGCAAGGAGGCTATTCGTAGGGGCGAATAAAAATCCGCCCCTTCTCCTTCT